CCTCAGGGCAGATGCCCAGGTTGCTATGGGGATGTTTGTGATAAGAAGTTTACAACCGGCCTGGTTCACATCAGCTTCGATGATGCTTCTATATTCCTTTATGTTTCAATCTTATTGAGGCGATCCCATTCATCTGAGGACTCTAGAAACTTGTCTTTTTCATCCAAAGATTCATTTTTCTCACAATAGGATGACATTTTCTTTCTTCTGGTCATCTGGTGCTTTGTCATTTGTCTAGGATTTCTCAAAAATAATTTCTACAGAATTGTTAAGTAATACCTTCAGTACTCTAGAAGTCCATTCATTTGGTCCTGAGATTTAAACTCATTCAAAATAAAGAGATATTTCTTGGCCACATTTCTATCAGTCTCATTTCAATCATATCCCTTCATCCTGCCCATCACAATTTCCACAAGTAACCACTCTTATGAGTTCAACCCATCTCATGCCAGCAGTCCATAATTAGTTAAAATGCAAAATAATAACAATAACAACAATAATAATAAAACTTAGAACATTGTCCCAGAATCTTTTTGATACATTTGCATAGACAATTGTAGACTTTCTGTAGTTTTCTTTCCTTTTTTGCCCCTCTTTTATGGATTGTATTGTAAGGATAGATTAGAATATTACCTCGGCCGTCAGGGTCTTGGATGTTTTTCCAAGATCTTCAACATCTCTGGTGACATACTGTAATTGTGATTGTTTTGGTTTTGTTTTGGTTTTGCAATATTATTTGTCCCCTCTGAGGCCTTCTCAGAAGCTGTACATTTTAGCTTACAAGAACCCATTGTGATATTGAATTTACTGCTGTCAATAGCTTTGAGGAAATGTTAAACATGATTCCTGTTGTGCTTCTTAGGAATGGAGCAATGAACGTAATGTTCTAGCAGAACAGTATTCCACTTATTGAAATCTGCTGATCCAAATCCCACTGGCTATGTCCTCTATTGGAATGTGGAATCATATATCATTATCCAGTTAAGATGCAATTTGAAGTCAGCAGATATGCTTCATTTGTATTTATAGCCAAAAATAATCAGGAAAAAACTACATAGTAGTTGGTATTTATATTTAATCACATGGTAAACATCCATCACATATGCATACAGTAAATATTTTCTACATAAAATTTAGGTACATGGCAAAATTTAATCATTTGGAAACGTGTGTGAGTGTTGTATAGTATTGTATAGTTTCCATTCACCTCTACTGAATTGGCTTGTTTTATCAAGTTGGGCTACACTATGGCAGACAGTCTCTACGTAAGTGTTATGTCATATAAGTTCCACATTAGCTTTATTGAAAAGTTCATATCGGCTTCCATGCTACAAGTAGCTTCCTTTTCATTTGCTATGTGCCTGTAAATGAGGTATCCCAGTTCCAACAATTTTATTCTATTTTCCTGAATATGCAAAGAATCAACACCTGCACCCAGAACATCCACTAAGGAGTGGGAAGGATGGTTCAAGAAGAGAGGGATTTTATGCACAGGGCTCTTCACAGCTATTTATAATCATTCCAAGATAGCAGAAACATAAATTGGGCTGTTTTGAATGTTTAACACTTGAGTTACGGCGGATCGTCACTGGCTGTGTATTGATTAGTGTTTCCCCACATGTACATGCAAATGTAAATGCCCTCCAGGGGCCAAATAGCCATGAGATATTTCCAAGAAAGAGGAGCTGAAAGCCAGTGCAATCATCACAAGCTTTATGAAAGGTAAATGCAGGGGTAAACACGCAAGGCTCCCTGGGATGGGCACCAGGTATGTATGCAATGTTCTGCCATGACATGTCAATGCCAGGGGGTGGGTTTCTAAAACTTTTATAACCAACATACTGAGCATTCATTAAATATGGGTGCAAAACAGACTATCCATTAAAAACTAACTAGAAACTAACTTATCAGCCTGTGAAATACCTTCCTTGTGAACTCCTCAGTGTCTCAGGCCATGCTATGCATCTTCTGTTTGTTATACGAAAGGTCCATGCAGTGGTTAAATATGGCGCTAGCTTGGTCCAGGGTATACAATTAGTAATATCTAGCTTTACACAGCATATGTATTAGTAATGGCTATGGCTGAACCTACAGGTTCTTAAACAGTTTGCCAATTACCTTTCTTTCCCTGTAACAAAACAGAGAAAGAGGAAGCTGTTGAAGGAAAATGTCATTAAGTACAACTCTCTAAATATTTCTGTACACTCATTCTCTGAACATTTTCCCCCTGCATGCTCCTTTTCCATCAGCTTTACCTTGGAAATATATGTTGGGTCCTGCTATTAACTGCATTGTCTCCACTTTTGAAATAAGACCTCGGTGCATGCTGTGGAAGGCACCTTCCCCCACCCCAACAACTAATATTAACACATTTGATTGTCAAAGCACAATAATTGTTACAAATAAATAATGCCTCTATCTTTCTGCCTTGTTGAATATTGAAACTTATATATTCTTCTTTTCTAAAGTAGATAATCTTCATTGCTGCAAATATGTTTGAAAACATGGGAATGTGTTACTTTTGATAGTGGCATGGAAAAATAAGAAAAAAGAGGAAAATAATTTATCATACTGCCTCATTTGGATTCTGACTTGCACTACATTTTTTCAAAACATTTGCTGTTCCAGTTTTGAATTTTCAGATAGCTCTGCTCTGCTAGGTGGCTGCCCCTAGGCAACCCTGGCTGATCAAATTTCCTAAAAGAAGGCAGCAACAAACCACTTGTGTATTATCCCAAGTTTTTTTTTTTTATCCTCCCATACAAATTACTGATATGTACCAGACAAAAGTGCAGTAATGAAATAGTTTTTTTTAAAACAAAAATTCTGATGCAATCACATCTTTGCATAACCTGCATTGGTGAACAGTCAGTTGTTTCCACATTGTTCTATCTGTTGCATTCTTATCACAATCTGGCATGTGGATTATGGTTGTTGGAATAGGTCTTCTGAATTAAAATGTCAGCTGAACTCCTAGGAACCTATTAGCAATGTCCCTGTTAATAAAATAGCTGTGGTGTGAAATTTAATTTCAATGGCTCTTAAGAATTTAAAGTCAATAAATATTATATAGCAATGCGAAGACTAAGAATTTCAGTGTTATACCGAAAAAAAGTTCCTTTCTATTACCATTGTACAGTATTACATCTATAGATGAATATGTTATTAAAAAGGAAAACTGGCTTTAAAATATATTTGGTGATTTCATTAATCTAATTAGTTGCCTAAACCAAGTTCCATTTTCCTCTTTAAACACAAATCACACTGATTGCCAGTGTATATTTAAATAGCTTGCTCCACATGCTGCTTATTCTAATTGAAGCTATTCATAACCGCATTACAGAAACTGGTTTATGCTTTGATATAACCCTTTGGAAGGGCAAGTCATGACTTCAGAAAAGTGTGAAAGCTGCTTTCAAACATGGCTGTATCAGCCTACCCATCATGTAAATTCTCATGTCCATATATTCTTGTCTTAACTCCTTCATGTGATTTCATAAAATTTTACAATGTTCCACTTTAGCCTATAGTCTGAATAGAGGAGATATGTTATTAAAGAAGTAATTTCAGATATCCTGTAATTCTTTGAGTGGCCCTGGGTTTTTCATAACCCCTTTTGCCCTCAGGAGTGGGCAAGTGCTTCAGACAAATAATAGTCGGATCAGCATTCAGTTTACATCCATGTTAATACTGCTGTCTTTCTAGCATTGGGAAAATTAGCTTCTCTTCATAGAAATAATTGGCTTTATTCTGATAAGGGGTTCTGCATATTCTGTCTCTGTAGCAGGACAAATCTTTACTATAAATCAGGAAAAACAGAGAATAAGTTCAGTTAGAGTATCTTACCTTCATTGTACAGAAAACCTTTTTTGCACATGTAGGAAATCATTAACAGTTTGTATTATGTATGTATAAAGACTGAAATCTGTTGGTAGGACCTTTAAGAAAATAGTATTTTGGTGTCTGTGTCTATAAACCTCAGAAAATGAACTGCATAATGAGAAGAATCATGTTGCTAGACTGTACTACATTATGCTATAGGTAGACTATTTAAATACTTCAACATGTAAATCATATGAGAAATCAGAAATGTTCCAGCCAATCTTTCTTGACCAGGTTTATTTTCAGATGCAGAAAATACTGCACATTCAGCATCCTTCTCCAGCCTTGGTGCCCCCAAGCATGTGGAGTTCAGCTCCCCAAATTCTCAGCAATAATACAGAATACAGAATACTTTAATGGCCAAGTATAAAATATATACAAGGAATTTGTC